TTTGTCTAAAAAGGTTTGGGTACGCCAATGAGTGAAGTCATTTTCAGTATACAATATTAGCAGTTAAAAAATCGGTATAGATGGGTGCACTTGAAAAAAATTTATCATAAAGTTATTGCACAATCAGTTATGAGCAGTTCCTCCAGTAACTAACTTAGTGTTGTGAACGAACTGGAGACGAAAACCGGAATCAGTAACTAGACAGCAGGCTTTTCTGTAGAAAGCTCTCAAGAAAGACTTGTGGTTACTTTGAGAATTTCGCCTTTCACTAGAGTACTTTGATGTAACAGTAAGAGTGAGTCTAAAAATTACGATCTAAATTTTACAAAATAAAAAGTGTTGGTGAGGAATAAAATAAGAATAATGATTATTTTGCAGTCACTAACCTAACAAGTTACATCATCTTTTGAAATGGTTCGAAATAGTATCCTACAAATGATTGTTGCTATTTCGAAGCATAGGACAGATAAGTTTAGGATGTTTCAATTATAGAATTTCATGATATGAATACAGAGTGTTGATGGAGAATACATTATTCAATTATTGGCGAGGTCTAACTCAGGATACGTGAAAATATGGTGAGAATGAAGGTTGATAAATTCAAAGTAAGGTTAGGACTTCTGAGTTCAATAAAAAATCTAGAACGATTATTGAATTTTACATTATATAATCCCTTAATTCTAATTACAGAATAATACAATTACTTGTCCTTTATATTGAAAGCATAGTGTTTTAACTGCAACTTTTAGATAACGGAGATGGGAAATTTTCGGTTCGCGTATTGCATCCAATAACTCCACCTGGAGCCCCTTGGTAGCCACTACCGGTCCCAAGCCCGGATAAAGGAGGAGGGTTGGGCTAGATGTTGGCTACACTATCCCGTCAAAAACTAACTCGCTAAAAACCGCTAGGCAGAAAATTTAATTCCAACCATTTAATCTCTTCCCTGGGAGTTAGAAGGTCTTCATCCAGAATAGTTATGAGGTCACATAATGGAGGCCGAGTTTCTTCATAAGTAACGCTGCCGATGACAATTCTCACAACCAGGGCAACCATTCTTTTAGGTACATGGAACGTCCGAAAATTGTGGGAGACCAGAAGTTTGTTCCAAGTTGCTGCATAGATAAAAATATACAACCTAGAGTTGCTTTGAATCAGTGAAACACATTGGATGCAGGTTGGACATCTAGGAAAAGCTTCAGAAGAGCTGCTGTCATAGTCTGGCCATGAAGAAGAAAATGCCTTATACACACAAGGAGTTGAACTGATGCTGTCCAAACAAGCACAAAAGGCATTGATAGGATGGGTATCTCATAGACCCACAATCTTCAAATAATCCTTGAAAACAAATAAAAATAGGGCATTATAATCGACATAATCCGATGCTATGCACCTACCAACGACTACAATAATGATATTAAAGATTGATCCTAAGAGAAGCTACAGTGAATCGCCAGCAGATGCTCATCAAAACATTTGACATTTCTGATCAATGGCCTGAATTCCAAGGTTTGGATGGGCAGCACTGGATATGAAGAAACGATTGGATGATATGGAATGGGAAAAAGGAACAGAAATGATGAGAGATTCGCAAACCTGTATGTCTTAAAACAGAATGGTTATGGGTGGCACCATATCCTCACACTAACAGATACACAAAGTTACATGGGTTCCACTGGATCACACTACTCAGAACCAAATAGATCACATCTGTATAAATAAAAGGTTCATAGGGTCCATGAAGGACGTAAGAACCAACAGAGGAGCTGATATAGCCTTAGATCACCGATTGCTGGTTGCCAAAACGAAACCGAAACTCAAGAAACACTGGGAAACAGCACAAAAGTTTAATGAGGCCTTTCTTAGGAATAGTGGAAAGCTCAACAAATTCAAGATAGCCTTCAACAATAGCTTTCAGGCCTTGTACGATCTACTCAGTTGTGAGGAAAAAACCATGGAGAAAAATTGGCAAGGCATAAAAGAGCCAATCACTTGAAAATGTCTGGAGGTTCTAAAACACGAAAAGTGCGACCACAAGGAACGGGTCTCTGTTCGTACGCTTGAAAAATTGAAGAAATTAGGAACGAGAAGGCTGCAGTCAACATCAGCCAAACAAGAACAGAGAAATTCAGTGCACAAGCTGAATACACAGAAGTAAATAAGCAGGTGAAGAAGAGCATCAGAGCCGACAAACGGAAATATGTGGAAGATTTAGCGATGACGGCGGAAAGGTCTGCAAAAGAAGGAAACTTGAAGCAGTTGTATTATACAACAAAGAAGCTCTCTGGAAACTATCGTAAACCCGAACGACCAGTGAAAGTCAAGGAACGCGTAGTAATCATCAGTATTGAAGTACAGCAAAACAGGTGGGTAGCACACATTTCGGGAACTCTTGAATCGACCAGTTCCACTGAACTCACGCAATGTCGAAGCAGCATCCGCGGACCTGTCATTCGGTGTTGGCCTACCAATCGGAATGGCCATCAGTCAAGTCAAGAGTGGTAAAGTAGTTGGACCAGACAGCATTGCAGCAGAAGCGATGAAAGCAGACATGGCTGTAACTAAACAGATACTCCACATCCTTGTCAGCAAGATTTGGGATGAAAAGCAAGTACCGAAAGTCTGGGAAGAAAGACACCGCATCAAGATGCCAAAGAAAGACGACTGCATTATGAAGACATCAACATTCTAGTGGAAGCACGGTATATATTGGACAGTCAGGATGCAGCTGGACAATCTGGCTCTCCTATCACACACGCAACGATGAATGCAAGAGAAGACGACCAGCGTAGCAGCAGGCCTAAATATAAATAAAGGGTAAAGCGACATTTTCCGATACAACATAACATGCAGAAACCAAATCACACTTGACAGAGAAGCTTTGGAGCATGTGAAAACCTCTACATATCTGGGCAGAAAAATTGATGTGTACGGTGGATCCGATGCAGATTAGCAAGGCCAGGACTGCGTTTCTACGCTTGACGAACATCTGGACTTCCAAACGGCTATCAACAAACAACGATATCATAATTTACAATACAAATGTGAAAACATTTCTACTGTATAAGGCGGAAACTTGGAGAACTACAGGTCTTGGTTACCATTCGTCCACGCAAAACACTTCGGATCCTCTGGCCAGATACCACTAGCAACAACCTTCTGTGGAAGAGAACGAACCAGATTCCAGTGGGGAAGAAGTTCTGGAAGAAGCGCTGGAGGTGGATTGGATACACATTGTGGAAAGCACCTAACTGCGTCACAAGACAAGTTCCACCTCGGAATCTTCAGTGCGAACACATTATATATAAATTTCACCACAAAAAGCTAAAAAATGTTTTCCGTAGTACCCTAATGGAAATACTGAGTTTTACAATGTTCTGAATTAGGAAGTACAAAACTTCAACCAGTACTCTTAGATGTGGAGAGAGCGCAGACTAATTCCATGTGACTTAAGAGAGAATGTGAGGAATGAGTTAATAATAATAATAATTTATTCTCAAATTGGTTGGTTTAAAAAGGAATAATAATATCAGATTAATCCTTCAATTTAGCTAGTCCATTTTTGACCTGTTAAAAGCAGATGGAAAGATGCCTGAAGTTTATGATGACTGCTTCCCGGTAATAAATATTTGGCATCTTAAACAGAGCTGAATAAACCGAAGATGTACCATATAAATCACGAAAGTCAGATTTTCCTCGAAAATGGACTTGAAAAATACTTATTTACAAATCCTAGTGGATGATATCTCTAGAGAACAACCCATTATTAATTCACAGTTATTACAAATCAGATACTTTGAACGTCCTCAGAAGTTATTTAGATACTTGGGAATTGTGTTAACGTATTCTTTTTATAACTCGTATTCATATTCTGAATGGTCGGAAATGGTTCTCATGAACAGTAGTAGAGGAAACTTTACCTAGGTGGCGATGAGAAAGATATTTAGTCTCTCTGCTATCTGGAGTATTGTAACGTAGATTGTACCGTGAAACAAGCAGCATAAATGCACCAAGAAAATTTAATGACAGTAGCTTAAGTATTATTAAGTTGATGTCTATGTGGAATTCCGAAATATGGATCCTTAATCTATTTGTCTGTGCTTTGTTGACTAGATATTGTAACAGTCTACTGAATATTATGGTAGCTTAGTTTCATAGAGGTAAATAAAGCCTCAGAAACTGTTCTGTAAGTCTTCAACGTTGGTTCTGACCACATTGGTAATGCTGGAAACGCTAGCCGAAGATGCTCGGTGTCGCACCCAAACCAAATTACTATGGGATGAGCCGTGCAAAGAATCTCCTCACATCAGCTGGCAAGGTTAGGTCACTCACTCCTTGAAGTCTCGACCATAATTTTAATTTGTGTTCGATCTTCCTGATTCCTGGCTTCTGGTTTGAGTTGACGTTAGGTAATCTCGATGTGCAACGTGTTACGACTAAAAGCTATGTCAAACTTTGAGTATCCGTTACATCAGTATCCAAAAGCTGTTTAAAATGCTAGCTGATAGACAGGAACGCAAATAAGATCCTTCATACTTGCATAAAACTTCTGATGATTCAAGTGGGTTTTCATCAAAGTCAAACTTACAGGACGACAGTTTGGATCAAAACGATTCTTCAGTTAAGAAATAAGAATAACGGTAAGTGGATGTTCTTTTAGTTTGAAAGCAGCTGTTAATTATATGTTACCGAATTTTTGGTTAAAAGGTGACCAATGTACCTATTTGTTCCGTACCAGTTGCAGTTATCTTAGACTGAACACGTTTACTACTTAAAATCAAATCATGAATAACGGAACGGCTCATGAGATAAACTTCTAGTTCATTTTTGACTTGAAAAGTATAGGTATGGTTTTGAAGTGTTTTTAAAATGACGAAGATGTCTGTAATAATGTTTACTATTCACTTACGATTTTTTGTTTTAATCATTAGCGAGTACTTTTTCTGTATATATAATGCTTTCATATGTATTCGCGCAAAGCCAACGGAATATTCGTTTCAATGTCGTCCTACTACGATAGCGATTTGGTCGGTTATTATAGAGATAATGGCACTTTTAAACCTTGGATGAATTCAGACTACCGTTATTCTTATAGGACTCCGTACCAAATCAGTGTAAGATTATAGTTTAATTTTTAACAAACATTTTTGTACTGCGATCGAATTTTATAATTATTATCATGATTCACTCTTAGTAATTGATTTTCGAATAGAGTTATCTAATTTTCGTGATTGGTAATAGGTAAGGAATTGTCCATTTTAGTGATCTTATTTTTAAAAAAATTAGAAATGTTCGTTAAGGAAAATGTCTGTCACAAAGTGCTAGATATGCAAATTTAAAATTGACTCTGTTTCAGGGGAATAATATAGAAGTGACTGCTGTGATTTATACTATCTCTTCTTTTGACAGATGGATATCTTTGTCACGTCACTAGCTACGCAAGTCGTGAATCGTTATCACCAAATAAATTAGTCTTTAAAGTCTGTTTATAGCTTAAGACCGGAAATTCGCGTCATCAGTTAGCTGCGTAGTACCGGTTGTAAAATGTATTATACGGTTTAAATACTTCTAATCAAACTGTGATCAAGGAAACTGAAATATCCGGCAAATTTTTGAATCGTTGTTTATCTGTCGTTCATGTTTCCAGACATATTATTATAGTAACATTTCAGACAGCTTTTCTAGAATATTAGTTTTCTAGACTCATTAAGGAAAGATCACGAGCGTGAGGCCCAGGATTATTTACCACTAATTCCTCATATGACGCCATTTAATTGTATCATGGTTAATATTATCAAGATCAGTACGACCCGTTATGAAGGCGATTATTGGTTATTAGATGGATCGATAATAAATGGCTGAGTTAATTCTCCGAGTCTATTTTAGCTTGAAAATGGTAAACCCGTTAAACTACGTAGGTATTTTTAATCATAGGATTACTTTGTGTTGAGCAAGAATGTTTCAGGTGAATATGACAGAGCTAGACGTAAAAGTAGTTGATATTAGATGATATCATCTTCGCGTTAAAGTTTGACGACTGCATTTCGAAATTTACTGCTTAAATTTTGTAATATTATATATCTCCAAGCAGTGCAAACTAACCTAATCAATTAGGAACAGCGGAATTATGACGAACGTTTATCACAATAAACTTTTAAGTAAAGATATTCAAGAAAAACTCATCCTTGATCGTTTTCCCCTAAGTAAAGTGACATTGTATTTTATTTGGGTTGTAAGTTAGTCATTAAATTGTCTGAGTGCTAATAGAAATTACTGGCATGGTTATGATGTATGGGTCAGGATCTACTTAAAATATAGTACTGGTGTGAATGTCGATAATACCATAGTAGATGATTGTTTTATTTATTCACAATAAAAATGGCGGTAACCAGCAGTCGACAACCACTGTTTTCTCTGGGAAAGTTCTTTAAATTTATGTGGCAGTGAAAAGTGTCGACAATTAGTGAAACATTAATCTCAGCTTTATAAGTGCTCTTGGTCAAAAACCATATTGATATAGCAAGTAAATAGTTACTAATGCTACTATAGAAAACTGTCTAATTAGTATACAGTAACTTGCCTATATATTTGGGGAGTGACTGAAAGTGTTCTGTGTCTCTGTTTACTAGGATTCCTAAATGTATGATAAAACGCAGCATTTAGTCTGTAAAAAAATCAGTCAGTCAGTTGCGACGTAGAATTTCGTACGTAAGTACATCAGTTTATGTTGCCATACCACTAAACGAAATCAACTTATGTCGGACGGTTAAAATTCGTTACTAAAAATGACTATTGTTAGTTCTAGATCTAAATTTAGTCGACATTAAATAACAGACTGATTTAGTGCAATAGATATGAAAGTAGAAACAAGACATGTCCCAGTTTAAATGACAAACGATGTATCTTTGTTTCAGACGCTCTTGTACATATGATCTAGGGCTTAAATGTCCGAAATGTCTAGCCATGTAGTAAATACTATGAGGTTGATGATGGCTGTTTTTTAATAATACTCTTATTGTTCTCATTTTCAGGATGATTTACGCAATGGTAAACGTATTTATATTTACAGAGACTATCCAGTTACTTCAAGGTTTGTTTAAGTTACATTTTTTCCTACTGAAATTTCCTCTATACAACTTAAAACAATCAAAATCCTTAAAATGTAATTAGCAGTACTCGTAATAGTTGTTGAAAGTCTCATTTGAAGATAAATGTTTCTTAATTTTTCTCTTATTAACGTAAATAGCTGGTGCGAGCATTTTTGGTTTGTACTTACAAGAATTTATTAGGTAATTAAATAAATCAATCAAAATGTGCATTTTTGAGTTTATCGCAGTAGTACGTACTCTCTCACCAGTTGAATAATAACGGGTTATTAAATAGTTGGGAGATATCTCTATTAGCTTACAAATTTAGTTTCAACTTCTTTTTTACCACCCACTCCTTTAACATTAGGCTAGCTGAAGTGGAAATCCACAACTGTCTGGATCGTGTTTTTGCTTTAACCCTACCACTTTTAGGTTTGCTATACTTGGAAGACGTGCACTCACTTGAAAAAATGTCCATGTCATTTATGTTTATTTTCTTCAAATAATGATGTTTATTACCCCACCGCAGAAACAATTTTCAGTTTTGAACTATTACTGAGAATAGCTGCAGTATAAAATATGTTAATCTTTCTCATTGACTCATAACTCGAACAAGTTTAGTACACAGATTGGATATTATATAGCTTCTAATAACTAAGTAACATACTTAAATATCAAGAGATTTCACTCGGTTTGTGTCTTGATAAACAGCCCTAGTTATATTACTAACGAAAGGTTTTGTCTTCCTTGAAATCATTTATTTAGAAAATATATGACGATTTATTAAAGTACTGGTAACTGGCAAGATCAACTAAGAAAGTTCCAAACTTCAAATACACGAGGCGATTTAATTCGCACATAGAAATATATGTATAATTCACATGCTATTTTTATGAACTAATAACTTTTTAAACTCAACTATGTTTGATAAAATGTCTTAAACGTTGCTCAACTCGTTTCAAATTCATTTGTTTTAGTTACTACCAAACAACATATTCACCAAGTTATACATATGTGTCACCTCTACGTCGATACCAGTCCTATGGTAGTTTGTCAGACTATAGGTGAGTCATTCAACCTTTGTGCTGATGAACATCAAGTGGTTAACTGTCTTTCTTCAGATATTAGTTTTTTCTTAATATTTCTTTAATACTTAATTCTAGTCAGAGACTGATGAACTCTTGAATTTACATTACATGCTGATGGTCGAGTCCTTGAAAGATTTTGCTTAGTTTTCCTAAAAACCCACTAAAGTCTCAATGAACGGGAAGTTTATGGAAAAACTTCTTATTTTAGCTAAAATAAAGTATACGTATATGGTGTTAGGCATTAACTTTTTAGCAACGTTTTGATTTATTCTTTAAACAGGACAATGTCATTTAATTATTATAATGTTAATAATGGTAATCCAGTATTTTAGAGCGCTTAATTTACCGTCAACTTGGTCACTACGTTCAATTTGATTTGTTTTCTGGTTAGCTAAACAAATCTAGTTACTAATACTAATCTATCTTAGTGTCTCAACTAAACTAACATAATAACTAAACATGCACGAATAGTTGTTAGGATTTCTATTCTGAAACTCTAAGATGAAGAGATGGTTGAGTCAATGGTTTTGCCAGTGGATATACCAGATATCGTCGTTGAAAATATATGTGAGTAATAAGTTGACTAGTATAGATTTATCAGTACTGATGTGAGAGTAATTCGCTGTTAGTTACCACCCATCTTCTTATACACAATCAAAATAAATGTATAATAAAAATGCGGAATTAATCATTTATTTCATTAGCTTGTGACAAACAAAGTAACATAGTTGTCAATTATTTAAATTACGTTATTATGATTACAGTCAAGTTGAACTACATTCTTTCTGTGTTACAGGAGTTTGAGTTTTTTTTACTGCATAAGTCTGGGGTTTTTTCCATTACGACTACGTACTAGCTAAATAACATTAACAACCTGGAAGCAATATTCAAATAATTCATGAGTTCTCCTTAAAGTGTACTCTGAAACCATTTTGAAATAGACAAAAAGCTACCTGTTTATAAGTGTTATTCCTAAATTGTCGTGTAAATCTGTGATTTTCAAAGTGAAATGATTTTGAGTAGAAAAAAATAAGAAACCAGGAGCGGATACATAATTTATTACCACAACTAATTTACTTGTGATGTTGTGACTATTCTATGGGAAGTTTCTAACTTAGCTTATTTGATACAGTTATTGTATATTACCAGCTTAAAATGAATAGAATTATTTCAGGATTAGGTTCTTTCTGTTAAATAACAGTAAACATACTGTTAATCTATTTATTTTCTCTTCAATTTAACTACAGAACAAGCTCACCTTATCTTTATTCCTACTCACGTCCAGTTTCTCAGCTTCAAAAAGTAGATATTTATGAGTGAGTAAATACTGATTTTTATGTTCTCGAAATGTAAAGCAATAAATAGTTTGTCTTTATGGTTCCTTATCAGTTGGTTTTTCATGTTACTTACCCAGATAATATGAAAATTACTAGTCCTTTACATTAAATCAAAGTAAAGCTCTCTTTCCATTGTCAAAAATACTTGCACAAAATAGTCAACATATGGCCAAAGTAAGTACTTGGTTGATACGTGATGTAAGAGTAGCTCACATTCATTTGGAAATTATATAGGTAGCTTTTATAAAGACTTTCTTAAGTCACATTAGCAGGAGGAATATTTTTTGGTTTATCACATGCGTGGGTGTGAATGTTAGTCAGACCATAACTGACAGTTAATTTTATTTATAAGAGAGTTAGGTATAATAATTTCAGCCATTTATTTTCTTCAAATTAGGTAATCATTGTTCTGAATCAACTGGTGTTTAATATATATATATATGGTCAACTGAATAGCTGACACTGAATCAAGAAGTCAAGAATATACAAATACGATGACTAAAGTATTGAAAGGTTAATCTTACTGAGCATGTATCGAATAGGTATTTATATACAAGTAGGTGAAAGTTGTTAACACGTCGAAAAAAGTTTGAGGAAAATGACTCTGTATTTCTTGCTTATTGCTTACAAGCCATTTTTTTTATTTCAGCGATACTCGGTTCAGCAGATATTATTACTAGAAGACGTTTATCCTTCAATAGCACTACATATTATCAAATTTAGTTGTTTGTTAATTTCGGTGAGTTTTGATACGAATTTTTGAAATCAGTGAACTTCAAAGTGATTCCATATTCATGTATATTAACGGTATCATCCGTTAGTTGATACTCTCTTCTATTATTCTACTAAAATATAACTTATAGTCACCACAACTACAAAGACGCAACAACTGTGGTAGACTAATTTTGTATACACTTTAACATTTAAACAAGCTCCAAAAGAATATTCTCCTGATTTTTGTTGCAAACGCATTGTTGAAATACTCCTAATCCTATTTAAACACTAATATTCATTGCATCTGGTTGTTTTTTTCGGTTCATATTGATAAATTGTTCCATACACCATCATAGTTTGACTCTTAGTTTCATACTGTCAGATGACGAGTGGTTCAGTAGTGTTCGGAATTTTAGTTGGTATGAAGTAACTTTTGGCAGTTTCCATTTGCAGTTCTATCTAGTGGGAAGACTCATTTTAAGGGATTGAATTATCTTGATTTTATAGATTTATCAGTTTTTTTTAAAAGTATTTTAGCAGCAGTACTTCGTGAAATATAGCCTCATTTACAAATGGAGGATAATAGCAATAAAAGTATGTGAATCCGAATAATATTTTTTGCCAAGGAGATGATGCTAAAGTGTACCATACTGTCTGTAGGCAGGTTTCTTTTATTCGGTGTAAGTCAACGTTAGTTCACAGTCTTGCATGTGGTCTCTATTTCATTTCTTTTTTGTTCGACGACCATGTGTAAAACTCCGACATTGATCAGCTGTGAGACTCTTATATAGCGTTCAGATAAAAATGATACAAGACATTTGACACTAAAATGAATTTTTAAGTTCTGTTTACCTTGGATGATCAGAAATTTGAAAATGCTATTTTTAAAAACTCTAATTGATCGATGTCCTTTTCTCAATGTAATCTTAATGGATGTTTTAAATATAGTTTAATTTTATTTATTGTTATTAACAGGTGGTTAAGGCGCATGTTCTTCTTTCTAATTTTTCGCGAAAATGTGAAATATTTCGTTCTCATCGAAATATATTCAAATAGAATAAAATGAACGTGACATGCTTTGTTGATGTGTGATTTATTTTATTTAACGTAGTGCTTTTTGTGTGAAATATAATTGTTATTTGAAAAATACCTTTTAAACTTTATATGGTGTTGAAACACTGAGCTGAAAGTGTTCGATGAAATTAAACTGTCATCATATTAGTGTGCAATGTTTCATTCAGAAAAAATAATAGTGGATAAAATTTCTTATATCTGTGTTTTCAGTGTGTAAATTCAGACAAGAATGAAGATAGAGGTCATATTATAAAGTGACAGTTGATTATCTGATCCCATGTTCTAATTTTAACGAAATTCAAATTAATACCAGTTTAGACTTCCTGGATTATGTTGAATTTATATAGATTTGTTTTTGGGCCTAATTTCCAAGCATTCACCTGTATGATATTTCATTAGCAGACTATTTAAAGTCAATTTTCGTAAAGTAATTAATCTGGGTTGTTCTTTCTACAGTAAATAGGTTGTTAAAACAATTCTTGACGAATAGTTTAAAATGATCAATTCAGTAAGACTGAAGTGTCTGTTGAGAATTGTAAATACAGACATTTTTTGTGATCTATTTATTTTGGCGTTAGTTAGAAAAAATTTCCGGGCTTAGATGTAAACATTATCAAATTTAAGTTTTCTATTTTTGGAGTTACCGAAAGTGTCATCATCTAATTTTTTACTGTTTGTTTAAGAAATCATACAATATATATCTCTATAACAGGTTACTCAGTCAGTCAGTCAACAACAACATAGAACTTCGTACGTACGTACATCAGTTCAGGTTGCCGTACCACATTAGTACAGAGATGCAGTTGTCACTCCAAATCCAATAGTAGCAAATGCAGTAGAAGTTTTAGCAGTAGTCGGAAAGATTAGGGTTCAAAGATATTATTCAAGAAGTAAAATCTAGTGAAATAAACTTAACAAGAAAAAGATAAAGGTGATAAGAAATTCAGAAGGTTAGGATTTGATGGAGCACGAAGAATGGATGCCCCTGTGCCATAGCGAACGGTTTCAGTCAGTCATTTGCAACGTAGAACTTCGTACGTATGTACATAAGTTCATGTTGCCATACCACATTAGCACAGAGATGCAAATGTCAAACCAAATCCCATAGTGATAGAGATAGTAGAGGTATTAATGGTAATGAAGAAGACTCGGGTTTGAAGATATTATTCAAGAAGTATAATTCAGTGAGATAAGGTTAGAAAGACAAATGTAGAGGTGCTGACGATTTTGGGACATGTCGTTGAGCGTCTCTAACCATTGATCACTATCATCTCGCGGGCCCCAACCAGATGATCGGCACTTACTAGCATGACTCAGTCCACCTGTCACTGAGTTAATGGATTTGTGCCATGTTTTGGTTTGGCCGCCACTAGCTTTCTTCCAACTTATTCCTACATGGCAAAGCATAGCATAGTAGGACCGAGCTAACTGTTGTAGACTCGACCTTTGGTTAGCAAATAGATATCTCGCCTGCGCCATAGGTGACGCAACCTGGCAAAAGCCAATCAAGCTTTCTGTATCTGTGGTGAAATTTCGTCAGTCACCTGGCTATCAGCACTGATGGGACTCCCCAGATAAGCGAAGCGGTCGACACGCTTGACTACTTCACTTCCTATCTCTAGTTCAGGCGCCGTCGCGAACCACTCTTGAAGCAGCATTTCGCATTTCAAGAGGGAAAACAGCATCCCGAACATGCTTGGATTATTGCTTAGGGTATTTAGAAGACTCTGCATTTTATCAGTGTCTTCACAGAACAGAACTATGTCATAAAAATACTCTACGTCAGCCAATAAATCTTCTTGTAGAAGCTGAACTCCTGAAAATTTAGACGAAGATAACGTTATCTATAAAAGCGTATCTTTGACACACTAAAACAAGAATGGAGAAAGTGGACATCTCGGACGGACACCACTTCAAGTAAAGAATTCCGATGATAGTTTGCCATAAGCTCTAACTCGACCAGCGGTTTTCGAGCGGAGATTTTTTAAGGTTGATGTACTTCTCTGGTCCTGTTTTCAGCGATAGACAGTGTCCTGAAGCCTGACGATCCACAGAATCGAGTGCCGCCTTCAGGTCTAGGAAGACAACTATTATCGGACGCCTATATGTGTATCGTAGTTCCTGTCGCAGTGTGAAAATATGGTCTATACAGCCTCGTCTAGGTCTGAAACCAGCCTGGTTTTCTGTAGTCTGCTCTTCACGAGCTCTAATTAAGCGTTGGAGTATTGTCGAGGCTAACAATTTAAAAACTATATTAGTTACAATGATTCCTCTGTGATTCTCACAAGAGGGATTTTGGCCTTTTTTATAAATTGGGACTATAAGGAATTGGAGGCTGTTGGATGGGATGACAGATTACTGGTCATTTAACGTTTGCTTTATTAATGAGTAAAGTTCTGGACAATGACTTTTTTATAGAGGAAGGATATATTTGGTGTACTTGCAGATTCGAACGATGTTTGTCAAATGAGCTCGAAAAAACGCATCTATTTACTCAGTCATTAGGGTTTGACACCTTATAGTGACATATAATCAGTTGAAAATAGTAATCGATGGTGGGCATGCGTTTTTATGATATTGGTTACACAAAAACTGTCGGTATGTCAGGCGAGTAGTACATTTAAATTCCAAAACGCTTTTAATTAAGGGACTGATATGGGCTACTGATTATTGAAACTGGTATTTAGTTTCACAATTATTAGGGTTGACAACATCCGTTTATCACTACTGTGAGTACAACCGAGCTCTGTTTCTTTCTAAGTGCGTTGCATGACGTTAGTTTAGATTTTCATCTGCTATTCGGTTTCTATTTCTCGACTTTTTGAGGTTTGATCACAAATGTATACTAACTGTAAGAAACGATCATTCACACAAAACTCTTTACAAGTTAGGGAGATTATTATCTTTAAATTAGGAATGGGAGTTTTTAAATGTTACATTATTTAAGGGTTTATTCAGAATTTTGTCTCATTTCAGGTATATCCGTTCTATGTGCAAATCCTTAGTAGTTACTTTTGTCAAAAGAATGTGAAGCGGTCAGTAAAATTCGGATGTGAATGCTCTGAAATCTTGGAAAACGTATGAAAATCCATTCTCAACAAACTCATATTTGGGGAAAAGTTGTCTGAAAAAGGTTCGAATTATCCCGTTGTTGATAATTAAGATCCAGTTTTGATCAGTCTTTGTTGGGACAGATACATTCTGAGTGTATTAGTTCAAATTTTTTTTAAATAAATGAACTGTAGCTAGTAGTGGAATTCAGGATGCTCGGTCAGATGTATTTATTACATAAATCTCAGTGCTGAAGTTTATTGTGAAAATCCAAACCAGCTTAGTAGATTTTTGGACTCAGTAGATCGGTAAATCAAGAATTAGCGCTGAAGAGAAAGATGTTGGGTTGGAGTCTTGGTATGACCATCAGAATTTAGATTGAGACAAAATTTGGCTAAATGCTCTCGAATGCAATAAAAAACGCCATAAATCCTGCTACTAGCCAAAATCCATCCTTTTTAAAAAGTAATTGTCTCAAACGAATTCTAATAACTGAATGTTGATATTATTTATACCCAGTTACTGAAATGATTTCCAGCGCATTAGAAATAATCAGAGATATTTTTAAAATATAAGTTTGTAATTAAAAGTATAATCTGCTTGTTGTTACTTTAGGGGGCTATTATTAGATTTGATCCATTCATATCAACCATATACCCCAAAGATGATTGCAACTAATCACAAAAACTATTCAGGGAAACGAGTAGTTAGAAATGATGAATTGAGAAATGTAAGTTTATTTTTACAAATTCTTGTTAAATCAGACCGATGGATATAAAAGTTGGTATTATTTTCAATCGAAAATGAAATTTAAAGGGAAACTGTAAGCAAAAATTTAAAA